TAACCCAATGGTTGAAGAGGGTAGCCAACGAGTGGTTCATTTGATGAATGTAAGTTCAGTGAGATCATTTCCTTTTCACGATTCTTACGGTAATTTTCTTCCGACGATTTCTATGCCTTCAGCTAGTTCCGTCAACTTGCGTTCCGGCGGATGCAATTGACGAACGTATTCGCCTGTTAGAGGAAATCGATCCAGTCACCAAGAAGTCTGGCTTCTTAGAGGAATTTGAGGTAGTGATGTGTGAAGAATACTAGCACTCTATAATATAGTGAGTTTCGTAGATGGCAACACACTTTGGACATTTCTATCGTACTTCGTGCACAATTCTTTGACATTACCGTCTTACATCGTAGATTTATTCCACTTCCGTTCTGATTCCACTTCCACCCAAACGCGGCCTCAGTTGTATTTCTTAATTACAGGAGTTATAAATAAATAGTTATGTTTTTTCAGCGCATTCAACAAGTAGATGACCAATTTTCTTCTCGACGTGAAGGGAAAAAGGAGCAGAACATAAGCAGGAATCGTTATAAAAATATCGTTCCATTCGATCATACTCGGTCAGTTGATACCTTCCCTTGTTATTATTCATTACTTTATTGTGTGTGATATTTTTATGGTACTCTTTTCAAATTTTATTTGAAAAGAGACCATCTAACTTCTTGAATGATGTGAAAGCTTCTTTCAAGCTGTAAATACTTACGGTTAGAGGCAACATCGTTGGTTTGCTCTTTCGGGAAACATGAACTAGGCCTATACAGTATAGGTTGGCTGGCAAAATATTTTATCCCAGTGTGAGCAGGACCAAAATAGCTTCTCTATAGCTACATAATTTACGTGACGGTCTGAGCTAATGCTGAAATTGTGTCAAATTTTTTTTGCTCAGTTTATGGAAGAGTGCACCTGTGTTGGTCCACCCCTTTCGGGATGCGCGCTGCATCCGATCTCCATCCACAATAGCAATGGCATTTGAGTGCGACTTAGCCAAAGTTGTGATCAAGCCGATGAACACGTCAGTAGTTTATCCTTTCCATGTCACATTTGGTAACAATCAACCGACCCGAGTAGCGTGATTAGTCTGAAAGGTTTTTGACCCTCGGACCATGCGCTAGGTAAGTAACACCTTGGCCCATGCAGTACTGCCGGACTTGTGTACTTTCTTATTTCCGAGTTTAGGCTGGAGTCCGCGTTCCGTCGCAGGGTTCGCCTAATTTGTGA